TCATCGAGGGATTGATATGTGACTCTTTACCCAAGTGGAGGGCGTCAGAATGTTTTACAGTGAACCTGTTTCTCCGTTGTTTTCAGGTTCTTGATGAAAGCATGGAGGGCTGAGAGAAATTGGTGGATCTCGCTTTTTTCACTGACTTTGTGGCTTATGGTCTGGAGGTCTGCCACTTGGGTACAGGGACTCATTGATGAGGAACAGAAGGACTCTCAGCAAGGTAATCGAACACTTCTCGAGACACTATCGTTAACTATCTCAAATGACCCGTCTTGGCCGTCGATATATGGCATAAAATTTATGTGAGGGCGCTATGCCAATGCATCATAGTGCAAGGTGATTCTGATCATGCTGTTGAATCCGCGCGCCAGTTAGATCGTGCGGCGGCACCTGTGGGCTCGTTGCATGTCTTCCTGCAGGCGAGTCTGGTCTAACCGGTGACCTGAAGGTGAAAGAGAAGTCTAAAGATGCTACAAGCACTGTTGTTGACCAAAAGAAGCCAGCGGTCTCCAAGGCAGCTTCGCCAGCGGTCTCCAAGGCAGCTTCGGAGGTGGAAATGACGAGTATGAAGAAGTGAGATATCTGTAGCGGCAACTATACTGTGTTTCTATTCATATCGCTAGTGTGGAGTTTTCCAGTGGGGTTTTCCAGTGGGGTTTTCATTGGTGTAGACGGATTTCTTGATTATCGTCGCTAAGATGATGTTTCCATGGGTTGATTGTATTTCGATTTAGTAGAAGCAGGCGATCTCGACGATTCATTAGTGCTCGTTGCTTAGTCTGCTAGTCATGCAGTGGTATTCATGCCAGGCCCTGGTCTAGATCTGCTAGGGTCTCCCGTTATCTCGGGGCAAGTGGTTTCTATCCCTAGGTTTGAATTGTCTCTGACAACATGGGATGTGCACAGTCAACGGACGCGGGTTCTGCTCCAGGTGGTCGTGCAGCTGGTGGATTGAACGTGGTAGCACTATGAGAGAGGAATACTAGCATCGAACGGATAGCGCAATATGTTGTGAAGCAAGCAGTTGTCATTGCCGTAGATCATTCGAGTTCACTGTGAATCAAAACTCGAGTTGTAGTCGTGAGCTATAGCATCTTGTGTTCAGACCGGCAGTCGAGCGTCTCCGAGTGGCATCGAGTCCAAGATAGTTCTTTTGGGAGATTCAGGCGTTGGTAAGTGGATTCAAAAATGATATGGATGCGGTCTATAAAGTCGTCCTTGTGTTTGCGGAGATTTCTTATACCGAATGGCGTAGACGTTTGTGTATGATGCGTTGATTAGCTTTATGAGAGCTGGGGGTCAGTGCTTCTGTTGCTCTCGGCTGCATAACTCTTGTGATGATTGGCCAGCCGTCTCGAATCGTGAACTGTGAGCAACTCATATTGTCACACATTGTCGAGCTTTCAAGACTTTGACCCTGTGGGCTCTTCCTTGCTGTTCCCGCTTCATGGGGTGGATTCGGATTACTGGCAGTGACACAGGATGTGATTCCTAGTCGGTTGCTCCTAGGCTTGGGTACTCCAACATATGAACGATGACATTGTGAATTTGCCAGGTAAATCTTCGATGGCTTTGAGATTCTGCCAAGGCAGATTCCCACCGTTCCATGAAGTTACCATCGGCGCGGCCTTTCTCCAGCAGATCGTGCGGCTTCCGAGTTCTAACACGCAGCTGAAACTGCATATTTGGGATACTGGTAGTACAGTCGGAGCTCTCAGTCGGGTGGGTTTGCATGCTACTTTCACAGGTGGACAAGAGCGATTCCGTGCCATGGCGCCGCTATACTATCGAGATGCTGCGGGTAATCGTTGTTCCTCATGTGACACGAGTCGTGTCTAGTCGTAGACTTTTCCTTTATTTCGTCATGTCCATTTTTGGTTCTTGTGCACCTCAGTGTCTGGAACTCTCTGGGCGAACTCGTTCCTCGACGAGAGATCTTCAGTTAGTATGAACTCGTGCGGGATTATTGTCTCGTCGTTCAAGGTGCAGTCGTTGTGTATGATGTTGGCTCGAAAGAGTCTTTCGAGTCGGTGAAGTTTTGGGTAAGTGAGCTGCGTAGCAAGGGTCCACCGGACGTGCGTATCGCGGTAGCTGGCAACAAGGCAGATCTCCCAGAGTCCGATCAGGTGAACCAGTTTGGCCTGTAATGTGATATTCCATGATGCACGATATCAGGTTGTTACAACACAAGAAGCAGAGGAATTTTGTCAAGAAAACGGACTGTTGTGCTTTAGAACTTCAGCCATGACTGGAGCCAATGTAAGCCTGGGAATACTTCTGGGGTCACTTCTGGGACTTACCGAGATCTTGTGAGTCGACAGTTCTGTCCTGTATCTGCGTCATTGACATGATGGAGTCGCCAAGGCTAGAACTTCGTATCAGATCGGCAAACTGTTCGAAGCTGTCGCAGAGGAGGTGTACAATGTGATCAAGAGCAAGCAGCGCTCTCCCAGCGGCAGTGCTGGACCAGCCATATAGTCTTGAAGCAGCTACATCTCTATTATTGCATTGATCATCATGCTCACCTTGTGTCGTCAATTGTCTTCACTTTTGGGGCGGGGTCATCTAATGTTGGTCACCAACTTTGTGTAATGTGTAATGATAGCACGACAACAGAAGAGAGCTACAAAAGAAATCATCGCGTACCTCATAGCAGCTCTGTTTGGTGAAGTGGCCGTGCTCGCGCAGGTCAAACAAGTAGAACGATCTGCGAGTGCTTCGTCCAGAGCCGCTGAGAGGTTGTGCAAAGGACCCGCGCAAATCCATCATTTCTGATGTTTATAATACACGAATAACATGTTTATTCAGCCTATATCATTTGTCCTTTGTGTGACAAAAAGGCGGATCGCACAACTTCTTAGAAAAATATGGTCGTTCTCAGGAGTAAAGGGACAAAACGGTTGTAAATAAATCACTCGGAAAAGATTGCTGAGACGTTTTTCACGCAGAACAAACAGCACGCGAGTTCGATGAAACAAGGGAATACCGTTGATCACAGGGAGGTTAATTGCACGATAAATATGGTAGTCGCAGTATCTCGCGGAGGTACGCGAAATATATGAAAGGAGAGGTTACAAACCAAGAGTGAACTCGACTATTTGCGCACATATCGTATCGTGAAACGGCCTCCATCTCGGGAAAAAAACGTACCGGTGCCCGAATAACTCTCGCTCGTGTCTTGCTCTCTTGGCAATTTCCTCGAGCAAATTCCAATCACGTATTCTCCGCTTAATGCCATCAACTCCAGCAGAGCCGTTATGCATTCACTACTTCCGAACAGTCGACAGAAATGGGCAGGAAGTGGTTATTGATCCCCGAGTGGAAGTTCTCCGAGTAACAAAAAAGACTCGCTGATATTGCTCAAGGTTTACCATTCTAGGCTTACGCACGAGTGTCCCACCTGAGTATCATGTTTGTGGGCTCATCGCAGCCCTATTCGGTCGCTTCCGCCAACGCTGCGTTGCCTTGTGCATTCCTGGATGGTATGACTGGCCCTGTCGGATTTGAAGGCTTGCTCCAAGCGATGAGAGCTAGGGTTAGAGAAATGAAGGAGGATCCTTCCTATCGAGGAAGCCCTGAAATATTGGATGAGGAGGAAAACGACATCATCGACTCCGAGAATGGAGTGATGCGCATCGTTTGGATACGGGCTTGTATAGAAGAAGCGATTGAGTAATATTCTCGAGAGTAGTCTCGAACGATGCATTGAACTCGAACGAGTATTGACTTCCATTCATAGCTCGTTGATCATAACGCGTCATAGGGCCGTTGAGGCATGGATATGGATCACTTCAATTGTATCAACTACAGTAGTCAGGTTCTGCACCTGGATGAACCCTTTGTGTTATAAAGAGTTCACAGCACCCATTGTTCGACGAAGCATACCGTTCCCACTCAACGCCATATATCTTGAATCACACCGCACTGAAGTGGCTCGTAAATGGGCACGGTCTACCAAGCTCGGAAAAGAAGAGAGTCGAGCAGCTGGGCATAGAGTCGCGAGAAGAGTAGTGCGTGGGATTTGCCCGGCGAACGAAAACGGGGGTTATTGGCTCAACTCTTTGAATGACTTCACGTTTTTCTTAGCTCGAGAGCATCCTGGAAGCGGTTCAAACCTACGTCGAGGTCGAGTTCCCTCTGTTCGCTCGTGGAGGTCTTTCAAGCGGAGGGAGTTGTCCTCGACATCCTAGCTATTTCGATACCGTCTTGTACGCCTATTTGAGAGCCTTGCATAATATTCCGGAGAAGCTCCTGGCTGCTTGGATCCAAGATGATGCTGCAAGCGAGCAAGATGAACTGCGTGTTAATGACCTTCTCAAAGGCCATCACAAGTAATATCCTATATCCAGGCAGCGTCTGCCATCCGTTGACCATTATTCTGCTCAAATAGCGTCATCGCATTTTTTTGATGCACATCACTTCTTCAATCTCAGATTTCTCACTGTATTCGAACGCTACCTGCAAGAGTGCGAATATGAGGAGTCGCAAAATGCGGGTGACGGACATGTTCTCGTTGCTGCGATTTCAGATCGAACTGGAGTCTGCTGTTGATGTATATGAGCTATATCCGCCCCATATCATCTCATAACGAGTTCTTGTGCGGATCAGTGATCTCTGCCTCAGATTCACCCCCATCTAGCTTCACGGCCAATATGCGGTTGGACAGTGGACAAGTAGAAGAGTCTACTACCGATCGGTCGTTTGAAGCTGTGCAAAGTTCGGCGCAGGCAGAGCGCGAAGAAGCCGTCAAGGGGAAAAAGCCCGGCGATTTCCTATTCCTAGGAGCTACACTATGCGTAACCATCATAGCCGTTTTGATTCAAGTGATTGCAGGAGCGGGGTCAGCGACGCGGACATGACTCGAACAATGTGGAAAACATGGATGATTTGTGCTAGCGGCACACCTTATGTAAACTTTGCTAGATCGATTTCTTATCACTTCTTGACTCTACGTGGCAGTGTAGTTTTGCGTAAGTGCTCGTGTCAATTCAGCTGCATAACCTTGCTGATATACCCTCGCACTGGCGACATCGCTTGTGTCTTCTACGGGCAAGATAATACTATATACATTCGGTCAATCATCATCCATGATCATTTCGTTTCGAACAGTTCTTCCTGGCTCGACTGAGGAACAACACAGCATGATGACTTGTGAGCTTCGCGGTGTATAGATTTGGATGTTACCCATACGGGACGATGCAATTCCCGCACTGTATTCGGCCGGCCCTTCACCGCTTTTGCATGTAGCTTCTCTGACCATCAGAGATGCTGATGAGCAGGGAACTTATTTAATAGAACGTCGCTTCCGTAAACCTCAAGAATTGGAGCGAGTTCCAAATTTGGAAACATTTTGCATTTCGATTTAGGATATACGTAGCGTCGTCCCTTTGTGGACAGTCGGCTGGTGCTCGCTGCACATATCGCGGCATAGCATAGTTCACAATAGATTCGAGTAACTATGTGTGTGTTGAAAGTTTCGGATTCCTAGCGAACTCGAGAATGTTGTCTTATCTCTCCAAGAAGATCGCCGTTCCGCACAATCTTGCGGTCGAGGTCGTCTCATGGAACGCGGGACAAGGATGGTTAGCTATTGGCGGAGAGAATGGTTTCCTGAAGGTGCGTTCGCCAACCTTTTGGCCATAGTCATCTAGACCGATTACATCCTGCATCCCAGCTGTTGGATGAAGGCTGGGCACATGGACAGTTCGCCGCTGATAGGTTCTGAAACTTGATGGCAGCACCACTGATGATTCTTCATCCAATAACAACAATGACTTTTCTTCGACTCAGACGCTAGAGGGACATCAGGTGAGCTGATCGGCGATGCGTCTTCTTTCCTTCATCAGCCCGGATAGCTACCGAATGATCCGCCTATCGATAGTTCTCTCCAAAGCTGGCTGAACTAATCGTTTCTCTCCTGGAAGTACTTGTTGATCGACGTCATGATCCCTCATGGAGTTCCACCGACTCCGTATACTCATGCCATTTCAGCACTCAATACGAGTAATTGTGTGGAATGAAAATTTCCGGAAGCTGACGACGTCCGATGCAAAAGGTCTGATCATCGGTAAATCGTACATCGCCCTCAATAATCCTCGGATGGATTGTGGTCAGTGTGGTCCATGAATCAAGGAGCATGGTTTGAAGAAATGGTGAACAATCGCAATCGATCAGTCGTCACGGATATGAGATGGAGCAAAGATGGTCAAAGGATATGCATCGTGTGAGCAGTCGCGCATTGCCGGTTGCGTGCTCGGCAACTAATTTGGAATACTTTTCACGGGCCGACCGTTGCGGTGCCTTTTCTGGTGATAGTCGTCGGTCGTATGCTCGAATATCGGAGCTCTTGGTGTGATTAAGAATTATGGTGGATATTTTTGGAATTCAACGCTCTACAGCGCTCATCACTGATGTATACGGAGAGTCAGTCGAGCTGACTCGGTTCTGATCCGTAACTGTCTGAGGCTCTATGCGAGTAGATACGAAGATGGTGCGGTCATAGTAGGAACTGTGGACGGCCAGCGTCTATGGGGTAAAGAGATTGATAAAAAACTTTCGCAAGTTGAGTGGCTGCCCGACTGCAAGGGTCTCATCTTCGGTACATTCGACGGTGAAATCCAGGTAGAGAGGTCAAATGCGTCGTTTGTCGCTCTACTACATAGCATCGGCAAACATTCGTCTCAGATATATGACTCAGAAGGGATATTCTCTCATAGGGTTCACGCTGCTTGCCTCGATTCAAACCAAGCTCCGCGCATTCAACCATCCAAGCAAGTGGCACCACCGAACATCGGAATCGCCTCAATAGAATGGTGGGGATCTTCGGATGTCACTGGTGAGGTCGCTTCCTACTGTTTTCATCGCATGAAAGGACGTGGCATTGGGAATCGCCTCACTCAGCGGCTTGATTTACTTCGTACCTTGTCCGATTTAGGGAGAGATATAGCGTGACACCAATCGATCGATTTCCTCGCTCAGTCGCGTTTCGAGAGAGTTCAAGCTAGCTCAATATATAGACCTATCTGATACATCTATCGACTAGGAAGCTAGGGATCAGCTCTCCGGGAATGTAAATGGTCGTTCGACTAGTGCTAAATATATATGTGCGGGTTAAAGGACCAGGTCATACGAGCACATGCAAACAACTAGTCAACCTCTCCAATCCCACTTTGTAGACTTTCTTCTCGAGTATAACCTTCAGAGCTCACTGATGAGACAGTCGAGCATATCCGAGATGAGTATAGCTACGCGTCCGACTGTTACTAGAGACTTCAAACCATGACTGCAACGGGGTCCCGAGGAAGACACGCGTTGCTCATATCTCTCATCCCTCTTTCAGTTTCATTGCATGCGTTAGAGAAACACGCGGCGCTGGCAGCGGCAGAGTCAGCTGCGAGAATGATTGGCGAGCGCCATCTTGTCTCTTGCGCTCCGAATCTATGTATTGCTTTCCGCAATGGCAAAGCACAGTTAATGCGTGGAATTCAAGATGATCAACCCAGTAAGCAACCTTGAATTCGAATTGAACGTGAGCTTCCAAACTTCGCTGATGGAGACCTCATCGGTCTCGTCCCAACCGTTCTTGAATCAAGTTCAGACCTCGTTTGTTTCTGCCTAGTTTTACTTGATACTGGCATCAATATCTTGGGAGCTGAGTGGTCTCCTTCGGGGCATACTATCGCTATTGCAGGGATCTCGGTGAGTCCTCGCCTCGGTCCATCTTCTTACGCTACGATGTCTGCCACTTTTGCCTCCCATCACCTGTTTTGCACGGAATGCTCGTGTCCTCAGGAGTGCGGCGGTCTCGATGATGTGTCCTCGCACAGAGGGTCATCGGAGGCGCTGAGAGGCTCTGGTGTAGTTCGAATATATTCTTCCTTCGGACAACTTCTGAGCAATCAGCTGGTAAGGCTTAATTGATCGTGTTGATCTCCCGCGAATAAAAGTCAGAGGATTGAAACCCCCTTGCCTGGCGCATGAACAGAAATCCAACATTTTTCGAAGATGTATTCGCTACTCAACTATTTTTCTGTATTTTCTTGCAGGAATAGACATCTCTTCCTATGTTCTCAGATCCCGAGTTTGACAGGCCGAGTCAATGGATTAAGATCGCTTTCTTGGGAAGGATCGGGCGCTCGTATAGCACTCGCTGTCGACTCCTACATTTACCTCTCCACTATCAAGTACTATTCTCTCATGATAGGACTTTCTCGTCTTGTCCATGCTGAGTCACGTTGAGCTGCTCACATCCAGCAGCGCCTATATTTTCCTCAGGACTGAGCGCCTCTGGGGCCACTTTAATTCGGGTACACTGTTGTTTGTGCAACAGACTGTCACAAGAAGTTCCCCTTCTTGGAATCAAGATCTACAAACTGACAGTAAAACGCTAAATTTGACTGAAGACGCGTGCACAGTCACGTTCTGGGATACTGAAAAAGTCAGATATTCACTATCATGGCTAATTCAATAGAGACTGTCTTGTAGGATCGAAAATATGTGAAGTCAATCCGAGACGTCGTTGCTGTCGCAACCTGTAGCACCAGCGAAGTTTGTGCGATATTCACTGCCGGATTATCCCGTAGGTCCTTGTTGTGCTCGGCAATCCGCTCGTGAGACCTGGAATTCGTGTTTAGCCATCAGTTGTATCACTCTAATTTGAATCCATCTGAATCAAACTAGCCAGAGGTGGACTTGAGTCTGATGCTAATGTTCGAGCTTCGCGTGGTGGCACTCACATCAGACGACTGAGACTTGCTTTCTGACCTCCAGTCGAGAATCCTCCATCTGCTTCGAGCTTGACACCCACAGCTTCCTTACAGTTCGTCATTCGACTATACAATGGTGAGGTTTCCACACTCCATCTCATTGACCGAAAGGACACACATGGGTTACAGGTGTTGGCGCACCAGTTGAGGTGGGCCGCAACTGTCCGCTTGTTCCCAAAAGTGTGGCAATGACCCAAGAGTATTTGCTTGTGGCAAGCGACGATGAGATTTATCTTTGGAATTTCGGGAAGGTAAGACGATTCAACGGAACATCCTACTTAGCATAGCCGGATCATCCGGCCCGGATGGTTGGCAAGATGTCTCCTCCCCCAGGCACCAGCGGTTATCGAGATGGACATCGATAAGGGATATATCAGTACGTGGCGCATTCCGTTCAGAGTAGTCATAATCTCTTGAATCTTGCTTCGAGGATTGCTTTGCGCTTTCTACTCCTTCTCTAGCCAAATGCCTCACTGGCAGGTTTTGGCGGGACGATTCGCAAGCGGTCTGAATCGATGAGGCATGTTGACGATTATTCTCTCGGAGTTGCTGCCGGAGTGGACAGGCAAGTGGTCGGCATATCCTCATGATATGTGAATCAGTTATACTCCGCCAAGTGGCATGAATAAGATCAAGGATCCGATTATTGATGTCGCAATAGCTCGCGATGGGGCTCTGTTCATTTGTCGTAGTAGTGGAATCATACATCAGTAAGTGTTGGAACTCCTGTCGTCACCAGTCATCCTCTAGTAAGGTACACATCTCTGACGCTCTCTCTCCAGGGTTCATTCAACGTCGATTGCCGGCCTCAGGTGCGAAATCTTGACTCCAGTTACTGCAGCGCTTTTGAGGCCTCTTTTGTCGGCTAACTCACGCGTGTGTGCTTTCTGACTGGGGTCGCGAGACCCCAGCCACTCCAAACTAGTTTATTCAGAGCTATCCAGTTTCAGAGTCTGCGACTTTATCTCTATCAACACTGGACTGGGTTGTGTATCCTCAGAATATCGCAGTCAACTGCGAAGCCACGAGGCTTTCAGTGGTCGATGAAGAGAGTCATCTGCATGTCTTTGAGCTGCTCTCCCCTCAAGGAGGTTCCTCATCAGTCGTGGTTGCCAACGCATTGTCAAGAGGAGAACGGCGGGAGATATGGCAGATGAAGTGGGCAGCAGACCAGCCAGGTGGTCCACTTTCCTGACATGCTGGAGCATATCCTATGTAGCAACTTCTTAGACCTTCTCGCGATAATGGAGAAATCTCGTATGTACATTTTGAGATCGATGAAGCCAGAAGAGCCGGTGACTAGTGAAGCGTACGCAAAGCATAACATGAGATACCAGGCCTCTGCGTCTTCTTTGTTATGTTAATCTGTCAGATACATCTATGAATTTAGTGACTTGCAGATTAAAGGAATCGTTCTGGACAATGTAGGAATGCCCCCTCCGGTTATGGCATTTTAGTGCTAGCGACCGCAGTGCAGAAGGCTACTGGAAAACCCCAATCCATCGCTCGTTTTTTTGGTGCTCGATACTCTGAAATCGATGACTCATTTTCAGCTACTTCGACCGATGCATTCTAGCTCAACTTCGCAGAAGCCCGTGGATCGAATCAAGGATGTGGTTGAGGGTTCAGATGCGTTCGCAGGGACAGTTCCTGGGAATTGGCAAAACCACCTTGTCATTTGTGACACCAAGACGCTGCGCGACACCAGAGACATGCTGTCGAAGCTTTCCAACATGAAGGACGCCTTCAGTTATGTGGAGGCGAACCCTCACAAGAGTGAGACGAGTATCCTGAAGACCGCTTTCGTTCTAGTTCAGATTGTGCAAGAACATTAGCAGGCATTTATGAGCATGTAGTTACTACGTATGCTGTGACTCAACTTTTCGAACGAGAAATTTCGTAATTCCTGATCTGGTAGAATGCTAAGTAAATAGGATTCGGCTACCGCATTCCAGTCATAAGGAGACCTGCCTCAGGGCTATGGCGTCTCCTCGCAGAATCGGCACTTGAGAAGTCGGATGTAAGTGTCGCCGAGAAGGCATTTGTTAAGTATGCATTGTAGCGACATTCGGGCTGAGTAGCAGACTTCTGTACTAGGCTCTCTTCCTACTCCGAAATTCGACTTTGTCGTAGGCTGGAGGACTTGGATGGCAGCGTAAAGCGTCTTGCTGAGGTAAGTCGTGGTGAATCGTCATGAAAGACTCTAGTCAATATACTTCATTTAGATCTCTGCCGTATATTTCCGGAGCTTCGACAACGCTGAGGCTCTGTACTTGGAAATTGACCGTCACGACCTCGCAGTTGATCTCAGACTGAAACTGGGAGACTGGTTTCGGGTGGTCCAACTACTCCAGGTGCTGAGAGGAGCTGTGGCGTCACTGATATTCTACTTCGAACTATCAGCCATGAGTGGGATGTCCTGAGATATTTCTGATCTCTGCAATTCCGTTTGTGATACCAATGAGACTCTAGAAATTAGAAGAATTTATATCCTGATTCGATTCGACTCGATAAAATACGTTGTATCTCGCATGCTGTAAGATAAGGATTCATCAACTGAAGGAGTTTTCATTCAGCCTGATGATACTTCTCGAGTTGGCTATCCGGAAGATGGCAACTCGACAAGGAAGCCTGGGTCTTCCCCGAGATTCGGCAGCCAGAAAAACCTTCTCAAGCAAGCATATGTGGAATGCGGCAACTACTATGCGAAAAGGGGGAGATGGAATCTCGCTGCTCAGGTTGGTTATTGGGTTTTCTGGTCTTCCTCGTCATCACAGTGAGAGAGCCATCATCTTGAGCCGTGGAAATCTTGTGCTTTCCTTTACAACGCCGGATAGCATTGCTCATCCTCAGTGTTTCCTGAGCGCGTCGGCAGGAGAGAGGCTTGTCGTAGCGTAGGTTTTTGGAGATTATGGGCAAACACACTTCGATGTGGTCTCTACACAGATACACGGCATTAGAAGACTTTGATTCGCTCTATCAGACAATCTCCCATGAAACTGATAGCGCTATTCATTTACGACGGGATGTAGCACGAGCACTTTTGAGCATCGGGCACGTCGAGCGAGCTGTGAATCTTCTTGTCGGGCTTGGAGATGTAACCTGGGTTGATGGATGGTCCTCGTAGTGAGATCGCGCACGAAACATTCGGCGGGGGTGCTCTTTTCCCTTCTCTGGATGTCACTTGAGCATCATCTCACGACGTCTTACTCGGCTTGTTCAAGATACCAACAGCAGTAGAAGAATGTATCATCTCGAATCATTGGTCTAAGGCGCTTGAGCTTGCCGCGGATCACAAACTTCTCGAGGTTGACAAGCTGTTGGGGAAGTGAGCTCCGCCCATTTCTCCAGAGCCGGTAGTCTTGAGTAGGCGGTGATACTCGGATAGATACGCGGTGCATTTCGTTGAAAACCATCAGATCTTCTCCGCTGTGGAACTCTACCACAGAGCTGGTAAACATGTCGAGGCAGCGCAGTTGTTGGTAGGCCTGGTCCTTCTGGCATGCTGTATTGACTGAAGCGGGCCGCTTCTAGCGGCATAATCTCGATGTTCGAGGTGCAACTTGCAGTCGACAATGATCGAGGGCAGACAGGGTTCATTACTCTTACCGCTCATCAGAAGAAGAAATTACATCTCTTGTCTGCACTGGAAGTGGAATCCCACAGGAGAAAATCCTCACGTGGGTTGACTATATTGGGATTTTGGAGCTTCTCCGCAGGTTTAGCTCCAGTCCACGACAAAGGATTCATCCCGTTTGGATTGGATGAAGAGGTTTGTGGTTAGCTTTATCGCGTCAGTGGGAACCTACCTTTGTAGTTGGTGAATACCGGACTTTTGGACTCACATTGGAGAGGATGCGAAGGGCTTCACCTGTATGCCAAGCTTGCCGTTTGTATACCCGTATCGCGTGCATGCGCCGCACGTCATGCGGAGAGTATCCGCGACAACTTTGGGCCGACTAATAAGCCTTCCATCATCCATCACGATACCAGATACATGTTATGTCATCGTCAGCTGTTCTCAGAGAAGGCTCAGCTCGCAGTTAAGACGGCTTTAAGGCTAGCAGAGCTCTTCGAGGACATAGTTGGTAGTGAGTCGCTGAAGCTGCACGGATATCGCTGCCATGTACAGGATACGAGCGTTCATGGTCGTTGTTAGCCATTGCAGCTTTCCAGTCCAAGTAAGACATTGGATTAGCTGGAGCCTATCTTTACGCAATGGCTCGCATTACAAATGCTCCCAGTTTCTTACAGCTAGCCAGCCAGCATATGCCCGAAGAACTCGTTTAATCGACTCTCATCAAGCGTTCGGGACTCGTCGGTCCAAATCGGGACTCCCATTGAGTCTTATCTCCGATGTTATCCGATGAAACCGTGTGTATTACATACTGAGCGAGACCATTCTTCTATGCAGGCGTTTTGCGCTCTGCAGTAGGGCCCTTATGAAGTTGGAAGGAGCAGAGGACATATCGCCCCATCGAAAGGGTCGATACTCGGAGCTGGTGAGTTACACCTGTGAGATAAGTTTGTGTTTGTCGCTCGCCAACTCGTCGTCGTCTGCGTGCTCCGGAACCCATATAACCCGGATAGTCTCATTCAGGCTTCTGCAATCTTCACGAAATATCCACCGAGAGATCCTCCTATGGCTGCGACATTAAAATGTCCTCACTCGGGGTGTTCGGCCAACAATCTGCACGAGTTGTCTTGTGAGTTGAGTAGAATAGTCATAAGCACATATGCTACTGCAGGTTCTTGCGCGGTTTGCCACCAACCTACCTCATGGTGTGTCGCTACGGGTGAACCAATTTTCTCGGAGTCCAAGAACACTCGCTTAGGTCCGGAATCCTTAGGTGATTTTCGATGGGATGAATGTCATCTCATCAGGTTCTGGAGGTGCAGGCGCCATCAAGCTCTTCTCGTGCCGAGTCTGCGCGTGAGTCTGCTTCTCACTCAGGTGCTCATAAACGCTCTCGTCCCCAGGCACGAAACGGTGATCGGGGAAGGCATTGAGATGACCATTTGCGCTCTATGCCATGCCCCTGTTGTATGATTAACATAACACCCATTTACTGAAGCCATTCTGGTCGTTGAATTATATGGTTCTTGAACTTTTGGATGTATATAAGTGAGCGCGGATACAGTCAATCGAGAGCTCGCTTCCGTGTCACTCGCGTGAGATACGGCGCATCCTACGATGAAACTATTCATGAGACCATATGCAGGATGCACAAACCATATTAGACCTCGTGTGCTCATTATGATCGTTACTATATGAGCAGTCTCTCTATTTGGCATGGCGAGGAATATAGTCTCTGCCAACTTCGTAATGCCAAAACACAAAACTCGAGTCCGGGATTGCTCAACGCCCGTCGTGTTCTGTGACAAAACTTTTCTGGTTGACCCTCAACCATATTGGCGGTCGGTTCTGAAAACTGGTACTGCAGGTTCCTCTTGAGAGGGATTCTATGGCTCATTGAGAGTGGTCACTATCATTGAGAGACTCTGGGACACTCAGACTGAGAGTCTTTCATCCGCTTTCAAAGTGACAAAGTACTCGAAATACAAAGAAACACTTCTTACTATGGTGTTGCCTCTTTTTGACTCAAACCCTCAAGAGCCTTGAGGAAGACGAAGGGCTGAGGACAACGAGAACTCTCGCTCAGAGTACTTAATCATAGAGTGAAACTTGATAAATTCATTCTTTTGATAATTTACGCAGGCCGTTAAGGAATTTCCTAACTTGTTGGTGGATATCCGAAACTTCATAACATTACCTGCTGACTAACGTTCCAATGACTCAGACTCCTGGACTGAAGTGTCCCTCACAGAAGTTCTGGGTTGCCAAGATGTGTCAGTCGCATCGCGCCAACAACTCTTAAGTAGCATCTTAATTCAGAGAAGAACTTTAAAATCTGATTGTTCGAGCTGGACAAGGCTCTGATCTTGATGACCTTCGCTCCAGCGGCATATTAGAAACTGCAAAAACGATCATGACGAGGGAATCGAGCACCGACGCTTTGAAGAGTAGCTACAACATCCATTTATCCCTCCATTACAGAGCGACGTGATCTTGACACTCAGGTCTTGCTGGGTCACTCCTCACCCTTCTTACCGATCTCCCGATATCCAGCAACGTAGCGGACGTTGCCACTGGTGCCGACGGTCACGTAACAAGTGAGTACATGAGTATAATATAAATGTCCGCTCGTGTTCGAAAATATCAACGATCTGTTTTGTAGTCGTCATTCCTCGCCCCTCACGAGTATATGAGCATTAGCCACTGACTGATCAATGCCCCTTCCATCTGACTATTCGATGCCGTGTGGTTTGCGGAGAACTGGTTTGAATTAGACTTTGTCGAACTGATCCCGCTGATTTGGATATGACCGGCCGCATTCTATTACGTCTTCTCCTCTGGGGATTTGCTCAAGCAATCAGAATTGAGCATCTCCTTCACGACAAGATGCTTGATGCTCTCTCACTTCTTTTTGATGAACAATCGCTGAACGAGACGATGAATATGATGGCGCAAAGTGCAGCCAACAGAGTGTATCAGCGTGTTAATCATGCACCCCACTGTGATCTCGGCGCTGGAGATGGAGAAACCGTTACATCGCTCGACCAATCAATCAGACGTTACTTGTAGGTAGACTTCGAAGCAAGTGATATACTGCGTGTCTCATTCAGTCCTGGTGGTATAAGCGCCAGCCCGAAGAAGTCGCCTCTGTTTGATGAACTTGATTCTCTCATCAAAGACTTTCAAGGTTTTGACATAGCTCAGCGCCGAGCGTCTCACTTGATATCGGCGACTTCGGCCACCATGGCCAAACAGATCGCTGGAGCTGCGGTGACTTCCGTGTTGTCCGCGATGTCTTCTGCAGTGCCATTGCCAGTGAGTTATCGTTGACAGCTTCTAGCGAGAGTCAGCCAGACAGCTTTGGGTTTGACTCAGAATTGGAACAATCAGCCCTTACCTTGCATGCCACTCCCAGAGGGTGATACGAATCCCGGTGAGGCATAGGGAAGCTAGTTCATGCTTTTCCGGTCGTAGGACATCCATGTGCTGGAAGTGTAAGGAATGTATTCGTAACTCCATGCTCAGAGAAGTCATGGTCTCACAGATAAAATACCCCGTAACATTCGCGGACTTTTCGATGGCTGAGGTGACAAGCTCGATGTTGAACGGAATCAGGGCATCATTTCCTGCCTTGTTTGCCTCTCGTGCGGGCAAATCCGATAGTACAAAGACCATGAACTATGCAGTAATTAGTAGATACTGTCTACGGCATCTCAGGCGATATGTACGAAAAATGTTATGCTGCATATATGTCAATGCAATGCGCGTCAATCTTCCCCATGTGCACAGTCCCGCAGGTGGATGAGCGAGTGAGTCGTATGTGACGCTCCTGTACCAGGCTTCCGACTCGCTCGTCCCTGTTGTCGGGAAAGTCCCGCTATGTAACACACTATGTCATAATGTCTTAGCACAGTGTCCTGGCTTCAAGTACAGACTGTTCTTCTCCGCATTTTGTACTTTCCATTTTCAGCCTGAACGATGTTGCTGGACCCTGTGACTTGTCTTCGGCACCTCCAATGTGTGCCATGGCACTTTTCTCTCGATTGGACGATATGCCCCCGCAATATTCCACTTTTGATGAATACGACCCCTTCTTGGAGGAGTGCCCTCCTTTCGACCCAACCCTAGTTTTTGCAGGTGACCACTCACTTATAGAGGCTATTAAAAAAATCGGACGAGCATGAGCTAATACAAACTATTCACGACTATGAGGTGTCCCTCACAGAATTTCTGGGCTGAGTTTTGCTCTGGAAACCCTGTTTCTAATAGATAGTTTCGCCAGGCTATCCGGCCAATGATTCTGCTCATCAATCTGATCCTTTTGATAACTCCCAGCAGTTCGCATGGTTCAGAATATCAAAGAAACCTCAATGGGATATCTACTATCCCCGAAATGTCGGGAGCGGAACCTGGGCTGCCTGTGAGATTGGAGAGACTTCTTTCCGTACTAAACATTATAATGTCTGTTTTAGGATATCAACGTTAAGTTAGGGCTACGCCTGAGATTGTATGACTTGTTACTATGCCTTCACATGTAGTTCCATTATCCTCCTGCGGCCAACTACGACCTCTAGCGCGATACGCAACTCCACAGACTCCGCGAGCAGCAGCAGAGAGCAGGGTTTCACCTAGGAATTATTGAGCATGCGCCTAAGTTCGACTCGCTGGGCGCTTGCGCGCCTTAAATTGTCCCATTAGATCCTTTAGGTTGCTTTTCGCCGAAAATTTTTTCTGTGAATTATCACAATTATCACAATTATTACAGTGAATTATCACTGTAATCCGCTGGCTTCCTCTTGCCAGCTTCCATAAGTCGTTCGAACGTATTTACAGGCATGCTTTACAACTATCTACGGGGCAAATCGGGGCCACATCCAACTACGATATGCTCAGTAACCAACTGGCACTGTGTCACTGGCACTTATTTAGTGATGTCACGCCGATGAACGGCGCTTGTGGCGCTGCGCCACTGGCGCACGCGTGCTACAAGGCGCATGGGCGGTTGTTATGGGATTCTGCGCACATCAATGTAGCCCATGGGATGTGCTTGCGTGCTTCCTGAGATCTATAGCTCTTGATGAGGGTTGTCCGCCCAGGAAGGCACGTTACCCTTCCCTCTCCTCTTGAGTCACTCCCCTAAGTCTCCGTAGCTCAGCTACCTCTACAAGCTCACCAGTACTTGTGTTATCCAGTCCGTGCGCTTTACTATCACATCACACCCTTCCGCTACATCTACTCGAACCCGTTACACGTTCCTACGGAGGCGCGTCGGGCGCGCCTACTGCCGCACCCGACATGCGCGCCTACTCCTCTTCGACCCACCAGAATGCGCGCCTGGGGGCGCGCCCAATACGCCTAGGTGAAACCCTGGCAGAGAGTGACTAGAAATATCAAGTCACAAGCTGCACAGATAAGGCTCTTTCCAAGAATGCAAGAGTATTCCGAGTGAGTCCATGTCAAAATCGTGCCATGGGCCCCATGGCACGGGGCTCATGTTGTGTCGCGCAGCATCTCATCTCTGCTCAGTATTACGAAGTTGGCATTGAGCGATAATGATCTTTGGAGTGCGCTGGTCGCCGTATCCAGAGATCGCGGATCTGGCAGTGAGACGAGAAATTCTCGTCGAGAATGATCCTGGGCCAAGGTAACCACGCTCGAGGAAAAGTCTCCATGAGAGGCTCTTTAAAAACCGTACCTAGCGTTCAAATGATCGTGATAGTTGTCACGGACTTCGCCATGCGTCATGAGATAGACTCGTCTGACCTGTTCTGTACAAGGAATTATAACTCTTTGTGTAGTGCTATAGTTGGACGAAATACTATGGAAACGTATGCTTCTCGTAGGCCCAGTAAGACTGCAGACGCGACGATTGCATCCTCCTGTTCATTGACTAGGAATCATGGAGCGAAGAAGGGGATGGCAAACACTGTCGCGCCCTTTACCATTATTCTGGCTCATGCCCACAAGTTCTGAACTTTGCAGGATTGGACCCTCTTGAGAAGGGCAGTGTCGCTCGTCAGTGTGGCTCACAGTATTCGTGTGTCGACCAGTGCGAGTCCGATTTCAACCGCGCATGCCCAGTAAGTTCATGATGCAGGTCCTGCATCACTCAATCCTGCATTGCAGGATTGAGGGAAGGGTACTTGCTTAGCAATGCTTACTCAGGATGGATGGAGTTACACGTCCAACGGCATGTGCTCTGCTCCTTTGGAATATACTGGGCCCTGTCCTACTTCAT